CCCCGCCCCGCCCCTCCCGGCACCACCCGCCCGGGGGCCCAGAGCGGGCGAAGTCGCGGAAGAGGGGGAGGGAGCCGCACCCGGTGCCTCCTTCCCGCCTCGGTCGCGTCGCCGCGTCCCTCCCCCGCGTTGCCGACCGCGGAGGAGACCTGAGCTACGGCCGCGCCCGCCCGCTGACCGCCTGGTGCGTGGACTCGCGCAGTGGCTGGTGCTGCACGTGTACAGCCCCAGCCGCGCCCCTCGCCTGGCCACTAGCGGACACCGCCTGGGCGCCAGGATCTCGGTGCGCAGCTGGGCTGCTGTGCCGCCCAGTCCACGCGCGTCCGTCTGTACCTCAGCCGCCGCCACCAGCTGCATCTTCAAAGAGGTGACATTTGTGTTCCAAGGACGCAGAGACTTGCCTCGTGGTGCCAGGGCTGTGCCCACAGAGTCGCGCGTGGGTCTGCACCCCAGTCTGGCTCACGAGTGTCTGGGCCAGGGCGCACAGCTGGCTGTGGGGGCCTCTCCACCCCGGGGCCTTGGGGTAACCCTAGTGCTGCAGAGCAGAAAGGCAGGCAGGTGGTGCAGACCAAGCCTGGGGCCCCAGACCTGCATCCCAAAGGCCCTTCTGACAGCTGTACCGGGCAGCCCTGCAGGAGGCCTGCCGTGGATCACTTAGAGGGCAACCCTGCAGTTGACGCAACACAGTTTTAACCTCACGTAATAAAAATCAACTTCAGGAACAGTCCTCCTGTCTCCCTGTCATGGTCACCACATACGATTTTTGGTTTTTTGTATGTTGCCTCAAGGCCCAAGGGGCTGCCATAGCTCAAGGCATCACATCTTTACACCACCATCTCAAAAAGGAAGGAAAGAGTAGGCCATCTTTAAAAAAACAATTTACGATATCCTTTTATAATAAATGGCTTTTCCGGAAGGCTTAAACTTCCCTTTACATACAGAACATCTCCTTTCCCAACCAGCACACAGTTGCTCATATTCCCTTCCCTAGGAAGAGAGCAGGAAGGCTGCCAGGTGCCCTGTCGGGAGAGAAATCAAAAGGCAAGTTGCTTGTGTGGACTGCCGAGGACAGAAGTGGTCTCGACGGAAGTCAGGCCGTGTTCAGAGCCAACATACTGCAGGTGCGCTAGAGGGAGGGTGTTCAAAACAGAGAAATCTGAGGCTTAGTTTTTGGACCGAGCTAACATGTATGTGGGCGGCGGTACCAAGACAGCAACGTGGAGGGGAAGAGCATGTTCGCTCGGCACAGTCGGATTCGAGAACTGCACGCTGGCACAGCAGCGGAGGTGTGGATGGTACCAGGGGATGGACCGCCACTGGTCTGTGCCCCGGAGCTGTGCCCCCTCTGCCCTGGGTGCTGGGCGCACCCACCTGCACTGGAGGGAGACAGGCAGGGCCTGGTATTCTGCCCCCACTTGCTCCCGCCCACCAACGCCAGTCCTGGTGCCCGCTCTGCTCTCAGCTCCTGTCCCTCTCAGTGTCTGAGGCCCAAGGGGGCAACCCCCGGCCTCCGGAGACCTCCACCCCAAGGTGTCTCTTCCCATGCATCGCCCTGCCAGACCCTAAGGGTCACCCAGAGGAAGACGTCTAGACTGGGAGGACACGGGGCCCACAGCAGCCAGAGCAGCGCCAGGAAGCCAGGCGCTGCTAGGGAAACAGCCTTCACCTGGGCAGGGCAGGAGCCACGTTGGAGGAAGAAACAGCCCCCAGGAACCACAAGGAAGGTGCCTTGTGGGTGCGCGCACCTCCAGGGAAGACTGCACTGCCGCTCCGTGAGTGCCGAGGGGCGCAGAGACGTGCAGCCGTGGCTGGGGAGGGGCGGCATGCGGGGCTCTGGTGCTGTAGAGGCTGGCGTCTTGGGGTTTGCAAGCTGCAGGGAGTGGGTCACTCGGGAGAGACTGCTGGTGCAGGAAGGGGTGCGCTGCCAGGAGGACGGGCCGCAGGACTCGGGACAGTTTTTCCTTTTTCCAGGAACAGACCTGACGGCGCAGGCAGCTGATCGATTAATCTGGGGGAAGATGAGGACTTTCTGTCACGTTCTCATTTCTCAGTGAAGCCAGAAAGATGAGGCTGGGAAGGGGCCTTTTAGGAACCCTTGGGGTGTGGGAGAGAATCCCCGAGAAAGCGGAGTCAGCCGGGGGGGGGGGGCTTGGGCTGGGGTCTGGTCATGAAGTGTCCCTGTGTGGCCTCCAAGTCCGCTGAATGACCCGAGGGGCCGCTCACACCTCGGCCACCCTAACCCTCCCAGTGCTCCGCTCTTTGGCTCTCAGTGTCCCACCCGCTCCCGCTCTGGCAGCAGAGTCCCCTGCTCCCAGCTTCCTTCGACCCTGGTCCCTCCTGGCCTCCCACCCTCCTCACCTTCCGGCCTCTGGGGCCACAGCTGGGTGGTGGGTGCCGCCCATGGCGAGTCCCCGCTGACCGCACGTGGCCACGCATCCCGCTCCCAGCCCCGCCCTCGCCAGGGTCTTGCTGTGGCCCCCTAAGTCCTGCCTCTGCCACTGTGTTTCGGTTCCGGGCGGGCGGGCGGCGAGGCAGGAGCTCGACAGGGGATTTTTTCTCATATAATCGGCATTTAATTTTAAAGGCCCTGAAGGCCACCAGTGACCTGTGGAGGACGCAGAAGACCTCGTGCTCCCGCCTCTCCCCTCCCCTCCCCTCGCCCCCAACGCCCACAGAGCGCAAACCACTTGTCGCTGTGCGGTGACCCCATGCAGTGCGCGCACGCGGCTCACGCGTTGAGCTTCACGTAGACAGCAAGCCCTGGGCACGCTCGCAGCGTGCGCTCCTCCCGGTCTGTCATGTGACCACGTCTCCTTTCCGCTGGGATACAGGCTCCGCAGCGAGCCCGATGTGGTCCTCCTGGGTCAGGGCAGGTTCCTCCAGACTGAGGAAGAGGCAGGGTCGCCCTGGCCCAGAGCCCACAGTGCCGCACCCTCCTGACGCTGTGCTAGTCTGGGGGCCTCTAGTATCTTGTGTTGGCTTTAATTTGCATTCTCCTGACTAGCAGAGGCTGAGAACTTATCATATGTTCGTTCCTCAAGCGCTGTTCAGAGATTCCCTCCACTTCTCAGCTGGGTCCTCTCTGCCCCTCTCATCAGCTGGAGCGGGTCATCTACTTTCTGAGGGCGACTCCTCCATCAGACATGTGCGGTTGCTATGTTGCCCCTAACCCCGTGCCAGCCTCTTGTTTATCCTGTGGTTCTTTTGAAGGGCAGAAGTTCTTAACACTAATATAACTCAACTGTATTGTATTCAACTCTCCTTCGAGCTTGGTTTCTGAATCTTAGAAATTACTTCTTGCTTAGGTCATTGCTGTGTGGATACCCCTTGCCTGTTCTTTCGGGGTGTTGGGAAGATAGCGTCCTATACCTTTCTAAAGTTTGTGTGATGCTGGGTGTGGTGGCACATGCCTGTAATCCCAGCACAGGGGAGGCTGAGGCAGAAGGATTGATGCAAGTTTGAGGCCAGCCTGGGCTCCATACTGAGTTCAAGGCCAGCCTGAGCTATGTATTGAGACCCTGTCTCAAAAATAAATAAATAAATCTTGTGTGGTTTTGCTTTTCCTTTCTACACCACTTGCAACTAACTTTTTCTGCGTGATGTAAGTCAGGCATCATGGGGCTTTTTTTGTTTTTTGTTTTTTTGGTACTGGGGATTGAACTCAGGACCTTGTGTTTGCCAGGCAGGTGCAGTGCCACCGAGCTAAATCCTTGGCCCCAGGCATCATGTTTCTACATCTGTCTCAAACTGCCTGAAGCCCGTTACCAGCAGCACATGGAGCTTTCGTTTCTAATCAAGGGCCATACCCAAGGTGCCTCTGTTAATGGCTGAAATGTGGTTCGGAAGCTGATGTCCCGTGTTTTCTTCCCCAGGAGCCTCCCGTCTATTCTTGAATATTTGCCCATAATTATAACTTTTAGAACCCATTTGTCAGGTTATGCAGATACACACAGTGGGCTTTAGACAGAGATAGCACAGATCAGTTTGGGGCAAATACACATCTTTGTGATATGGAGCTTCCAATTCAAGAACAATATATATGTTCAATGATTAGGGCCATTTTTAGCCTATTTCAATAGTGCTAATTTTTACAAAAATCATGTGCATTTATATAGTATTTATTCTGAAGTGTTTTGCCCTTTTTTTTTTTTTTTTTGGACCAGGGATCGAACTTGGGACCTTGAGGTTTCGAGGCAGGCGGTGGAACCGCTGAGCTAAATCCCTGGCCCTTGCCTATCTTTCTTTTAGTACTGGGGATCAAACCCAGGAGCCCTCTACCCTTCTACCACTGGGGTCGTGTACATTCCCAGTCCATTTTTATCACTTACTCATTTTTTAAATTTTGAGACAAGGTCTTACTAAGTTGCCCAGGCAGGACTTGAACTCTTAGGCTCAAGTAATCCTTTTCCCTCAGCCTCCCAAGCAGCTGGAATGACAGGTATGCACCTCTGCACCCAACTTCTTTCCAATTCTTGTATCTTTTATTTCTTTCTACTTCTTTGTTGTTGAGACTTATTCTGCCAGCTAATACAAAGACAGACAGAAGTGTGATCACGGGGCCTCTGCCCTGTTCCTCGTGTTCAATGAAAGGCTTTCAATCTTTCTTTTTTGGCAGGGGGGGAGCTCTCGATCTTTTAGCATTAAATATAGTTGCTGTGTTCTTTAAAAAAAAAGCATCTCCTTAGTCAGATTGTAAAATCCCCTTGTCTTGGGTCAGGGATGTAGCTCAGTGGCACCCTACCTATCTGGCAAGCACAAGGTCTTGAATTTGTTCTCTGTTACCAAAAAACCCCACAAAAATCCTTTTTATTTTCCAGGTGTCTGCACCACGAGTAGGTGATAAATCCTGTCAAATCCTTTTCTGCACTTTGGCTCACTTTCATCCTCCTGCAAGCCAGGGCGCTGATGTTTGTTCAGTTTCCCAGCATTGAGCCAACCTCTCCCTCCTGGCCAGCAGAGCCAGGCACCCCATCATCTGCTGTACTGAGAGGCCTGGTTTCTGGTAACTCGCTGGCTTTGCCTAGTCTCTCTCCTGCTCTGTGCTGTCCTTGGGAGGGAGGGGGAGCTTTTCCCGAGGGCACAGGGCCAGAGCCCTCACCTCGGCCAGCCCCAGCGCCTCCCTCTGCTCCGTCCTGTCTTCCCAGGGGCCAGGCAGCCAAAGTTGCCCGGCTCTCGTCTCCCTCTGCCTGTGATCGTGGCTGTGTCCACTTCTGAGTTCTTCCTGTCACTTAGGTCTTGCAAGGAACCCGTTTTTGCCTTGATTGACTGTCTCCAGTGTGTGCTCTCTATTTCTCTAACATCTACGCAATATCTCCTTTCATAGCTGCTGCTTTAGGTTATCTCGCTCAATTTTCAGGCCCTGTCTAAAAAAGAGTGTTCGCAGGATAGCCCTGTTCTCATGTCAAGATCAGCAAGTGCCCTGCAGGCGTTCAGAGTGTGGCGGAAGTGTGGCCGCGGCTGGCTGTGCCTGTGCCCTTACCAGTCTGCCCACCTCCCCTCGGCCAAACCCATCTTCCTTCCCAGCTTCCTCAGCGCTGCTAGGGCCGCAGTTACCACCACTGACCGCGCCTTCCTACATCACCTCCAGGCCCCATAACCAGTTTGTCACGCCTACCTCATTCCTCTAACCTGGAGGACCTGGCCCAGCAGGTCAGGAGGGGTTAGGAGCGGTGGGGATTCATGGGTGAAGACCCGGAGGTGCACTGCGGGGAGGGGACACTGTGGGGTGGCCCACTGTGCCACACGGAAGAGGGACAGGACAGGACTGCAGCTCTTAGGGGCAGAAACAATGAGGCCACCCGAGGGGAGGTGACTCAGAGCTGCATGGGCCCCAGGCCAGTGGAAGGCGCAGGCCCGACCAGGCCATGCAAGTGCGATCACAGGCGGTGTGTGGGTCAGGGCAGGCTGGGGGCTCTGAAAGACCTTGAAGTGGCAGAAGTACCAGGCTGTGTCGCTCTGGCTGCTGCTGCTGCAAGGAAGTGCCCAAGCATGGGGGCAGGGGTGGTGTCACCAAGACTCGTGGGGTCCACGTAGAGCTGCTCACAAAGCTAGGCTCCTAACCACGCCTACATGAGGCGGCAAAGTACAGGAGGCCTGGCAGGCTCAGCTGCTGCACAACTGGGGGTCAGAGCCCACGCACATGGGCAGGCAGGGGGTAGAGGGCCGCAGCCAGAGAAGTCAAGATCCTGCTGGGCGCCGGTAAGCACAGCTCCTCAGGAGGCTGAAACAGGAGTACAAGTTTGAGTTCATCCTGGGGAACACAGCAAGACCCGGTCTCAAAAAGAAAAGGGTGGGGTACAGCTCAGTGCTCACTGGGTTCAATCCAGAGAACCTCCAGGAACACAAGTCCAGGTCCTGCCTCATCTTCCTGACGCGGGGTCTGCTGGCCGGCAGATGCTGGGACTATGGGAGGAGTGCACAAGCTGGGCTGCTGGCACTGGCGCCTCCAATCCCAGATCAGAGGACGCCAGTGAATTCTGGTCTGCAGCGCTTCAGTATGCACTGTGTAACCTAGAGACAGCTGCACTGAGCAGTTATGACCCCATGGACCTGCAGCTCCCGAGACAGAAAGAAACTGAGTTAGAACTGACCCAAATCAAGAGTACTGGAAAGATCTTTTAAACAGGCACCTGGACACCAATGCTATGCATCCTGCACACCGCCTGGCTCGCCTCGAAGCATCCACGCACATCGACTCCACAGTTGCTCCCGTAGCCCTCAGTGTCCATTCTCCTTGCAGCGTGGCTGCTCCAACTAGAGCCGGGCCATGCTGCTGGCTGCTTGCTCTCCGCCTGGCACAGAGCTGGGCAGCCTTGCTGCCCCCAAATCCAGCCAGCTGGCCTGTCCAGTTCTACCCCCAGAACCACTCCCCCCCTTGACTGGTCCCCCTGGGTCTCGCCCCACTGTCCCTGCCCCGGGCCGGCAGCCTGCTCCTCCCTCAGTGCCCCGAGTGGACTTTCCACACAGGCCAGCCTCCTGGCCACCTCCAGGTTTCAGCAGTTCCTACACACAGGTTCTGGCAGGTGGCTCTCTACGGCAAGGTGGCCTGTCGACCTGGAACTTTGCCAATCTCCCTGCTGGCACCAAGAGCCACAGCACTGTCCTTGGGACGGCTCGTCTCCATTCCAGCTCACTGAGCTTCAGACCCAAGGGCTCGAGGCTCCCAGATGCCCCCACACCACCCAGAAGTGGAATTTCAGCGGGGAAGGAAACTTGCGATGCAGAGCAAAGCTAATGGAAGAGTGGACAGAGCAAATGATGAGGACAAATGGAAAGAACAGTGAAGAGGGCTCTCCCTTCAGTATGAAAAAGGGCTGCATGGCACCCGGACTCTAACACATGGCAGGAGACGTGGACTAGAGTTCCTGGCCCAGGGCTGGCAGGGAATGGAGAATATAACAGTTAATAACTTGACCTTCCCAAGCTGAGGTCAGCCACACAGGGCCAGGAGCTTCAAGGAAAAGAATACCAGGAAAATCTGAGATTATTTGAGGTATTTGAGATATCTGGCTATCAGGAAGATTTGAGATTACTGTAACACAGGAGCAAAAGTGCACTCAAATGCTAGTATTTTTGAAGACCATCATAAGCACATAAATACACCTCTGAAATGTGAGCAATCCATACACAAGAGATGAATTTTCTTGATACTCAAAGAGCACTTGAAGATAATAATAAAAACAGGAACAATTTAATGGAAGGAAGCAAAGGACATATGAAGCTCCCTCCCCCAGGGAGCCTCTGACAGGACAGCAGGGCCTCAGGTTGGATGCCAGGGCAGATCGAGGCTTTGCCACCTGGGAGCTGTGTGACCTCCACATAGGTCCCCCAAACAAACAGTAAGGGCCAAATAAGTATCGTATTGTTTTTTCTTTTTCTTTTTTGGTACTGGGGATCGAACTCAGGACCTTGCGCTTGCAAGGCAGATGGTGGAACCACTGAGCTAAATCCTTGGCCCTTGTTTCTCTTTTTAAACTGGGTCTTG